TGACTGCGGGGCGATGTTGAGTATAATGTTTATTTAGGAAATATAGGATAGCGTAGGATTTGTTCCTGCCTTGACTTGTACTCCAAGATGACCATGTACTCATATATATATGCCCATGAGGCTCAAGCAATACAACGAACTATTCCACCAATCTCTCTCTCTCCCTTCTAACATCTATGATGACTTCGTCAATCTTAAGATGTTGTGCCGGTTCAATAACTAGAGGTGCTCATAGATTTTTCCGGCAAAAATTGCTTCATTCCTGAGAAAATATCTGGGCCGGCCCCTACACATACGCGGGCTATGTAAGGTCCACCTTCAACCGCTAATCGACAAGGTCCAAGGGAAACTACCTGGGTGGAAAGGCAAGAACATCGCCAGAGCGGGTAGGGTGGCCCTGGCAAAGTCCTCCCTATCCTCGATCATCACCTTCCACATGACGGTCACCCCCTTGCCAAAGTGGGCCAGTGCCAAGGTGGATAGGATCACACGCAATTTCATTTGGGCTGGAGATGAAAGTGAAAATGCCAGCGGCATGCATTCGCTTGTAAACTGGAAGACGGTCTGCCGCCCCAAAGTGCTCGGGGGGCTCGGCATCACCGACCTGGAACGCTTCGGGAGGGTGCTAAGACTTTGTTGGCTATGGCATCAATGGAACGACCCTGCGCGACCTTGGGCCGGATCCCTGCTGCCTTGTGATGCTTCCGACTTCTCCCTATTCAGGGCCTCCACATCAATCACCCTTGGGGACGGGTAAAAGGCCTCCTTCTGGCACGGCAACTGGTCGGGAAAAGGAGCCCTACGGCACCTGTGCCCCGGTCTGTTTGGTATTGCAACTAGGAAAAACAGGTCGGTGCATGATGAGCTCCGTGAGGAGGCCTGGATCTGTGTTGTCGCCAAGATGAATTCTCTAGCCCACCTAAGAGAATTCATCGAGCAAGCTTCGACCGTCACGTCGACCTCCCTTGACCCTAACTCTCCGGACACCATCTCCTGGAACTGGAACCCCAATGGTGAATATTCGACCAGCTCGGCTTATCGGGCGCAATTCCTTGGATCTTATCCGAGATTCTTCTGCGACAAAATCTGGAAGGCCCACACGGAGCCAAAGTGCAAGCGTTTCTCCTGGCTGGCCCTCCACAACCGGATCCTTACGGCTGACCGTCTCGCCCTGCGAGGCTGGCCACTTACTCCGTCTGCCAACTATGCCTCTGTACCAACGAGAATGCAGAACACCTTTGCAAGACCTGCCCGTTCACTTCCGCAGTCCGCACCCTCATCCTGAATTGGGTGGGGGAGCCGCTTACATTTGCTCCGACTGCCGCTTCCCCCTCAATCGACGCTTGGTGGGATGCTGGCCTCAAAAACTCCGACATCAATTTGAGAAGGCGTCGTAGCAGATGACTCATCTATATAATGTAGAACGCATGAAAGGAGAGGAACGACGAATCTTCGAAGGCACAAGATTGACTTGCATCGAGGTTGCGCACTTAACCTTCGAGGAGATCATGCAGCGTGACATGGCCTTCCGGCCAAGAGCGACCCAAATTCATGAGTAGTTAGCATGCATCACTTAGTGTGATCCTTTCGGATCTTGGGGTTTCCTGCTTGTCCCCCTTTCAAAAACATGCCACATTGTACATATTTCCCTCTACTAAATGAAAAGGTAGCGCTCCTGCCAGTTCCTCAAAAAAAAGGTGCTCATAGAGATAGGTGTGCATGCATGCGTTCATAGATGAGTGTATGGTGAGCATCTATGACTGTATTGTGTTAAAAAGACACGTGACACTTCTATGGTGCTGAGGACGGACGCTCAAATAGATCCCAAATATTTCGCCCGATGACCAACCTGACATACATCACAGGTTGTACTTTGGTTCAGTGGGCTCCACGGCATATACATCACGGAGCGAACAATGTCTCTCCTCAGGGCCGGCCCTATATTTCGGAAGGCTCTAGGACGAACTCGACGACATGGGCCCCTAAGTCCTATGTATGTGCACGTGTGAGTGTGATACATAAACATTGATTAAAGATGTAAAATACCTTTTTCAAATAACCTTTCTCTGATTGAATTTTTAGATCGCCTTTTCTTCTTCTCAATTGTTCAGCACCCGACAAACGCTTCTTAGGTAACATTGTAAGGCAGGCTATGTCCTAAAATTAAGAAGAAAAGGGTATAGAAATTAGAAAGTATTGGAAATTTTTACATCAAAACCCTAATCTTATACACTGAAATT